TGGGTAGATTAGCTGGAGAGAATAAATTTATTTCCACATAGCATCCTAATTAAAATAGTTTAGCCGCATGACTGTTAAGCTTGGAGCGGGGCGGAGGGGGGAATCTCTTGTCTCTCTCCATTCTACTCAGTTCCTTGTCAAGGAACAGTTGAGCATCATGGGAAAAAGGAGTTGGACTGTAGATAAAGTTGACTTTATCTTTTATTGAAGCATCATCCTTTTTCCTAGTGCTTAGTTATTCCTAATTGCTCAAATGAGCAATGGGACTCTGTAGCCATATCCCCCCTTCCCATCCCTCCACCACCTATCCCTCCGCTGCCATTCAGCTATTTCTCCAATGTTCAGTTCGCCACATGCATCCATCCAATTACATGTACACCTATGTGTATAAATCACAATGAATAGATTGGAGTGTAGTGTACATGTATGTATGTGTGAGAGGAGAGAGACCATTAATTGACGGCACTTCATTTGTCCATTCTTCTCCTAATGTGTATGTGAGTGGAATGAGATACGGGGTGGAATGTGATATGAAAAAGAGTAAATGGAAATATCCTGGGTAGCACCCATCACCCTGCCCTCCCTTTCTCATCCATCCATCCCTCCCCCCTCCACCCCCGCTCATTGTTTAGGAATTGTTCCAGTTATTATGCACACTAGCTATTCAATTCACATTGTGATGTGTTCATCACAAAAGCTTTACTTTCAAATAAATCACCTTCAGTAGATTCCATTTTCTGCAGCAAAGATGCAATGGCCAACTTCTTCCAAGGGCAAGGAATTTTGTTGGGTCCCTACTGATAAGGAGTGATTGAACAATCCTAACACACACAATGAACCCTTGTGCCTATCATGCCATGTCTCCACTGCAAATAAGAACAAGACATGGTGTGACTGACAGACATTCTTTCTCCCCTTTCCCATCACTTGTACAGTAGCTCAAGCACATATTGCAGATGCTGTTGCATCAGAATCCACCTCTCCCGATCCCATGCTTTGCCAGCAGCCTTTTTACTAATGGTTTGCAGCATGTTGAGGGCATGTTTTGCATTTGCTGACTCCTGTTGGAAAGTTTTCCCATTCCTCCACTGCCCTGTGCCTGCTGATATCTTTCTGTATCTCCAATAAAAACTGCACACCGTTTTATGCTCTTCTGTGTTGTTTTACTTGCATGCTGCTGTTTTGCCTGCCTCAATGAGTGAAGAGACTTCATTCATTCATTCATCTCCCTCTCCTCTCTGAAACTTGTCTTACTTTCACTCCCACAACTTCCTCCACTCTCTGATAGCCTGGGTAGCACCAGATAGCACTGGTGCCTCCAACCATTCCCAAAGCCAATCAGATAAACTGCTTTCGCTTGCCCTCGTATCTGTCACAGTTGCTTCTGACAGAGAACCATCAATGAACTCATGCTGCCAAGTCTTCCCCATCCCCTGCCACATATACTCCAATCCTGTAGCCCAATTTCTTGAACACTTTTTCCTCTGAGGCCCCCACTACTTCTCCTGTGCTACCCCATTTACAACTCTTAACAGCCTATCCCCCCCCCCCGCCATAATGAAGTCCCTCGCTGTACGTCTCCAAAGAAGACCTTTATTGAAAAACAACTGGACTCAGCAGTTACTGTAAATAACTGTATGGTTTTGGCTGCCGTAAGAACAACTAAAAGTGCATTTTTCCTTTGGGAGGCACTGATTGGCTGGCTTGCTGGTTCTATATGGAACTGGGCTCCTGGCTTGTGGAGTGGGGTTCAATTATATCAAACAAGGTTCTAAGAGACTTTGGAGAGAGTTTATACAGGGAATGCTACACTTCAACCGATGTGTATAGGGAATGGAGGCAGCAAGGTTAGTCTAGATTATTCTAGCAACTATAACATGGACTGATGGGAGAGGCATTTCTGAAGTTGTGAATCCTTCTTGGTGAGGACACACACATGGTTAATTGGTCCAAATCTGCAGATATAGCTGAACAGATATTTCTAGCTTCCTCCTGAGTCACAGATTCAGAGGGACTCAAAGGAAGAGGGGCATTATTTGCCCATCTATCTGTAGCAATGGCTTTATTTTCAGACCCTGGTCCTGTCTCCTTCAAAACAGCTCAGGGTTGTCTTGAAGGAGCACATTCCTACCTAGAATCATAGAATATTAGAGTTGGAAGGAGCCAGAAGGACATCAGGTTCAACTCCCTGCTCAGTGCAGGACTCCCAAGTGAAACCATCTCTCTGTTCAGTTGCATCTTCAATAGCTCTAGTGTGGAAAAGCTCACAAGCTTTCTAGGTAATTGTTCCATTGTCATACTGTCTTCTCTTTTCAAGCCTAAACATGCCCAGTTCTTTCAACCTCTCCTCATAAGGCTTTGTCTCCAGTTCCTAGGTCATCCTTGTTGCCTTGCTCTGAATCCATTCCAACTTGTCTGCATCTTTCTTAAACTGTAGTGCCCAGAACTGAAATAGTGATGTTTTCAGAATGCAGCAAGTAGCAATCACATCTGTTACAAGGTCCTCCTTCACATCCAGACCGTGTAAAGGGAGCACCATCATTACTTTAAGCAGCAAAAAGTATGCTCTAAGGGCATCCTAGTGCAGCTATGGTAGTAATTAAAACGCCTTTCTGTTTTGCCACCCTCTGAACCTGGCAAAACCACATTTAAAGTACAAAGGCCTAGCCTCTAAGAATGAGGAGGCACACAGGGAGCAGGGGAGCTAGTAAAAAATCTGTCCATGGCTAGCTTCTTTGCTAAAGGTGGGTTACAAAAAAAAGCCGTATTTTTGCTTTCCTCAATATCCCTACACGAACATTCATATATTTCCTTTTAAAGTCCATAAAGGATGACCATGCTGTAACAGCATTTATGCTTACAGAACTCCTCACCTTAGCCTGAATGAGTTAAAATGGGCATGTGCATAAGTACTAATAGTACAGGGCCCCCATCACCTGAGGAAACCCCAGTTCATGGAAGCTTCATGCATTATTTCTCTCATTTCCAACCTTAATGATGTCAGCAAGGTACAACTAATTCAGAATATGCACCATTTCTGTGAATATATAGAATTACTCTTTATTCCAAAGGAAATGCTAAGAAGGAGGTAACCCTTGTTGAAAGTAAGCTTGTACAAGGTCAGCCCCAACCTTATTTTATTGGTAAGTATTTTTGCATAACCACATCTGAATTTTGGATTATATGTTCAATTTCCAATTCTTGGATATCATGATCATGTCTTAGAAAGTGGATCAAGGTGAGAGGAAGTTGGTGAATGCTTGGTTACACAACTGGCAACCTTCTTCTATGTCATGTGCAGCACAAAGGCTGCAAATCACATTCATGTGATTGCCACTTGTACAGGGATCACATGGGGCTCAGTTCCTGGTAAGCATTCCACAAACACTCAGTGCACTTGCCAGGAAGTTGGACGCACAGCTGCAAGAAAGAGGGCTACAGTCCAGAAAGCCAAATCCAGTCCTCATCCTTAATCCTAGCCCTAAAGCTTCCAATCCATAGCAGTGAATTCCCATGTATACTGCTGCTTGGAAGATTGGTGTCAGGTTTTAAGCCACATTTATTTCCTGTCAGTCCCTCATCACTTGAGCAAAGCTGAAGTCTGAAGCTGCCATATCTTTGTGCGATGACTTGCCTAGTGATTGGCTGCCACTGTCCGAGATGACCAGATAGCCAATAGATGTTCACTGGCCTTCTATTTTCATGCTTGTTCATTTCCTTGAGAAGGTATACATACATTCCCCTGCCACTTCAGTGGTGATTCACCTTTGGTTAGTAGTAGCTCCTTTTCTGCTGGTCCTTTGGTCTTATTGGGTACTCACTTCATTTGTTGTGCTGGCTTCCTCAGGCTGCACTTCAGAGGCAACTACACCTTCAACCTTTTCCCCCCACATCTTCCTCTCTGGAAAAACCAGTTAAAGAGGGTTTGCTTGGCTCTGTGAAGAGGCATAACAAGTTGAGGGCTAAGGGTGACATCTGTGCTTACAGTCTCACCTGAGTGTCCCCTCAAGCTCACTTCTCAGATCTTCCAGAGGTTTTCTGGTACTAGTGACTGACCATACACGTCTAGATCAACAATAGAGTGTTGTGTTTGTTGCTCCTCCTCCAGAGACAGGTGCCTGTGCACTCTAGGTGGGAGAACCCTATTGTCTTGAGGGCATATCTTCACACTGTCTGTGTTAATATCCAGCTCTGACTGCATTTCCCTTGAGAAAGTACTCCAGAATGGCTGATCCCAAGTTCTTACTTTTTCGCAAAGCATTGTTGGTTCATGTTGCATGGTTATCAGCCTGGCATCAACACAAGGAAAGTATGCTGGGCTGCTTGCACTGGAGAAGTATATTGTTTGCAAACACGCCCCAAAAGGGGTCAGGTTCGTTGATGGGAAAGCAGGGATGAACTACCGGGATGTACTGCCAGCTTAAAATGGCAACAAATTTGGGTATCTTGACATAGTTTCAGACTGGCTTGGGCATCATAGGGATGCAATATATGACTCACCATATCTTGACATGGCTAGAACTGGGGAGAATGAGTCACAGGTTGGAGAGAGGTGGCTCTTGGCACCTGGTGGTTCTGTGGAATCCTGCTCCTGGGAGTATAATAGGGCATGATATCCCTCTGATCTACCTGCTATTAAGAAAGCTTGTGTGGAGGGGGGAAATAGTGTTTTTGGCCACTCTTGCCCCAAGATTCAGTGGAACTTTTTAACAAGTCACAACGCAATCAGTCTCCTATTTCAGAAGGCACAACAAGCCAGTGTGACAACACAATGACACAACAACTCTAGAACAAGCCAAAAACAATAAGCAACTCTGAAGGAAGAGGTCCAGATTTAGAAGAAATGACAATCCACTATGGCTAGTTATCCACAATAAGTTGTCATGTTGTGTGAGCCCAGTCAGTGCAGCAACAGTGCAACATAACTCACTTCCAACCAGAGTAATGAATAATGCACAGTGGGTAGCCTCTGGGCAGATGCATAGCTGGAGATTATAGGAGCTATTCAATATTTTATTTTGACACGGTAGCAGGTTACCTTGGCACAAAGTTTAGAAATTGTTATTTAATAAGTACAGATGCATTCTTGTGGAAGGGAATCTTAGCCTACTTTTCCTTTCATTCCTAGATTTTACAGGGAACAAGGAAACAGTACACTATATGTAAATACACGCCCCTGGAATTATCAAAAGTATTTTGCTCCTAACAGAGTTGTAAGAATATGCAGAACTAAGGAGTAACACAGGAAGGTTTGAGGGTTCGTAGTGTTTTTCCAGAGCCTAAGGACCAGGCTTGCACAAGCTCATTAGGGAGAGGCAGTTAATTCTCTTCTGAATCTATGTTTCTAAATGCATGCTTGTTCCATTTTTACAGTACCCAAAAAGTCTAAATGTATATACCTAAGAAGTTACCATCTGTCCCAGCTTTGTTATTTATTTAGCCTCATAATACCAAGGCTAAAAATACAGCTGTATTCTTCTTTCTGGCTTTTAATTACTAAGTCTAAAATGATACCCCACAAAGATTGCAAAGTAGAACTCATAAGAAAACAAAGGGGAAAACAGTAGAAAGTTAGAAACAATAAAGTAACCCCCCACCCCCCCAAAAGTGCGCACACACACGCACACACAAGCAAAACAAAAAACAACCAAAGCAACTCCAATTCGTAGGGCTCTTCATCTGAGTGGCTTTTTCAAGTCTCCCAGTATCACGTAAGGAATAAGCAGTTTGTTGACCTGTTAGAAGCACTTCAAAAGTCTTCCTTCTAGAAGTTTAAACATCCATCAGCCAAGTTACACTCACAGGTTTAACATGGATTAGTACAGTAAAGAGTGTTCTTAAATAATGTTAGCAGTTTAAAAATGGAACTATGAATTAGTGTACAAAACTGATATATTTTCAATATGTTTCCTCTCTTCTTTGGCAAAAATGGTGAATGAGAAGAAACAAAAAGTCCAGTAATCTTTTGTGCTCGGTTCTTAATCAGTCATGTAACAGATGCTCTAGATTGATTGGTAGGTGGAGGCCTCAGGTAGAATAAAACTTGATTCTCATTTTCAGGGTTGCTTCCCCCAGCCTTTAATGGCAAGAGAGAAGTGCCGATGTGGTTGTTTTATGCATCGTATTTTTTACCAGTCCTGCGAATCTGTTGGAAGAGAGTCATGGAAAAAGCCATACCAAGTATCTGAAAGAGAAGAAAGAAGAATCAAGACTTACAATTTTACAGCAATCTATGCAATGATCCTGTAACAAGTGGCTATGTTCACACATTCTGACAAGCCATGTTACAAGCCACTGTATCTGTGCTACAGTGGAAGTTGTTTTGCGCCAGGTTCACACTGATACTCAGTATCTACTCTCCATCTTACCATCCAAATGGTGGTACAGATTCCAGCAGACTTCACTGCTGGGATTCAGTCTCCGGTTGCACCACTCCTTCCCCCATCACAGGGGACTACATGCTCCTCTGTGCAGGCCAAAGCCAACCACCAATTTTTTCCACTGCTGCCACTCGGCAGAGGCCCTGTCTACCCGTTGCTCTGTAGAGCAGCCAGTCTCCTGCAAACCTGAAGATAGGGCCTTTGCGTAGAGCGGCAGCAGGAAAAGAAAAGAAAAGGCAGCTGCAGCTTTTTCTCCACAAGAGAAAGCAGCAGACTTCTTGCTGATGACACATTCCATGCCAGCACTATTGCCACGAACACCCCACACACCTCTCTCCCCTCTCTCACTGCATGGGTGCCCAACTTTTCCTCACACACACGTGCATGTGCTCCCTAGCAGCCCAGCACACAGAGGGCAGCAGTATAGGTATTTATACCAGGGATGGAGAGGGTGGGCCTTGCAGGAACATTTTCCAAGGAATGCCTGTGTAGTCATCATCTTAGAAAAGGGTCTTGGCAAAGCACACGGATGATTATTGTCCATGGCTGGGGGCAGGGGAGACAGAACAGGGGTCATGGACTGTGCAGGGCATATCCATCATGCCGATCCTGGACAGTGCAATGACTAGGCAGGCCTGCCCAGCATGGCTGCCTGCACAGCTGCCGCTCCTACAGGTGGTACAATTCCGTCACCAAGGCTAGGCATTGTTTGGCCATGCACTAGCTGGGAAGGGAGGGAGCACAACTGGGCAATCACATTGCTGCTGCCAGCAACCCAGTAGTTGCTAGGCACATTTGGCCAACTACCACTGAAAGCATCTGTAGCTGCTCCTGCTGCAGGACTCTATAGAAGAAACACTAAAACTGTCCAAAAAAGGTGGGGTTTTTTGGTTCACACCAGGCAATAGGCCATGGCAAAGTGTAGAAACTTTAGAACAAATTCTGCATTCAGGGTTTGAAGTAAAGAGTGGTTTTTCTGAGGCTAGAATTGCTGAGATTATGGAGGTCCTATTTAGGTGCAATAGGTAAGGAATTCCGGGAAGAGCCAAAAGTCAGCTTATGGCATTTTCACACATTTATAGGTATGAAAGTTTGCCTCAATTTTTACCTCAAGCAAATGTGCAGTAAATATGAAAATGAATGATATGAACTATTTCACAAAAGCCCAAAATATTTTGACAGGGTAGCAAAACTTCTCAGTTTTTTCGCATAGCTCTGCTTAAAGACACATCCACTGAATGAAGATTACCCTACTTGATACATTCATAATTGTCACTTGCTAGCTCTAAACTGTCTCTTGGTCATGCCTTTTTGGTGCTTATGTGTAGCTTTAGTTAAAAAGCTGTATGTACATAAGGTTTTTCTACCCAGTAAAGCATCCTTCCTTGGCCTTTCAGTTTCCTTGGTCATGACAAAGAACTGTCATAAGATGTTCTCCTATTGATAATGAATGTAAAGCCAGCAGATATACCAGTATGTGGCAGACCTGGCAAGCAAACATTATATTGCTTTCCTTCCATGGGTGCCTTCTCTTTTTCACAAAGTGACAAAGCTTCTTTTTTTCACAAAGTTCCCTTGAGCAGGGTTCACATGGTCAAGTTGCCAGGACTTTTTGAATAACAGGTATTTGAGGGGGTCAGGTGGGGCAAAGGGCTTTAACTTCCCTGTGCAGTGATCCTGATGCATCTGTGGTGTGTCTCTTTGGTTTTGTATGGGTGACCTTTCGCATCTAATTTATGTATAGGTGCAAAAGAATATGCTCAACCTATTTGTGCAGCCCCCTAAGGGTTCCATGCAGACAAGCTTTTATATATCTATGTATTAAATTTCTATACCACCCAGTAGTCAAAGTTTAGTCTATGAATACATAAAATACAGTAAAATGTGACACCTGACCCCAAAGGGTTGTTTACCTCTTTCACAGAATCACAGAATTGTAGAGTTGAAAGGCCATTGAGTCTAATCCACTTCTCAATCTAGAGCATGCCTGACAGATGGCAGTCCAGCTGCCTCTTGAATGCCTTCCCTCAGTAATTGGTTTCATTGTTGCAATGCTCTAACAGTTTGGAAGTTTTTCCTGATGTACAGCTGTAATCATGTGTTAAGAGAACCCTCTTCTCAAGGTTAAATATGCCTAGGTCTTTCAATCACTCCTCACAGAGCTTTCTTTTCAATGCCTGATAATCTTTTGTACCCTCATCTCAACTTTTTCCAGAATGCATCTTTCTTAATCTGTGGGCACAATACTTAAGACTAGTGCTGAATAGAGAGGAACCAGTAGCTCATATGATTTGACAGCTATACAGCCCAATGTAGCCCAAAACAACTTTTGTCTTTTTTGCAGTTCCATCACATTGGTGGCTCACATTCAGCATGTGATTCAACAATCCCAATTACAATTCTCAGTTGTACAATTGTTGAGCCCAATATTTCTCATCTTGTTAGTTCTTTTTCCTAAGAGCAGAACTTGGCACTTTTCCCTACTGAAATTAATTCTGTTGTTTTCCATGGCTCCAACCTATCAAGATCACCTTGAATCTTATTTTTTGTCTTTCAGGGTATTAGTTATAAACCCTCATGTCAAAAGTTCATATCCTACCCACTTTGTCAAAAGCTTTTCTGAATCAAGATACTTTTTTAGAATTTATTATTTGTTTATTAGATTTATATCCTGCTTTTTTCTTATAGCAAACTCAACATTTTTCTCTTGCTGCTTTCAATCCTCCTGTGAGGTAGGTTGGGCTGAGAGCCTGTGACTGGCCCACAGTCAGTGAGTTGACTGCATGTGGACTAGAACCCACTCAGGGAGGCTATTCCACCAGGTATGTTACCCAATCAAAAAAGAAAGAAAGAAATCAGATTAGTCTGGCAGGATTTATTCCTGAAAAATTCATGTTGGCTTCTGATAATCACTGCATTGCTTTATAATCTGCTACAGAATTTTCCCAGGGATTGATGTCATTTTCTTTTTTCAGTTCTTCAAGAAAGGATAGGAACAACATTAACCCTTCTCCAGTTATCTGGCACTTCCCCTATCCTCAATGATTTGTCAAACATAAAGACAGTGGTTATGAGAGTTCTTCTGCCACCTTCTTTTTGACTCTAAGATGAAGCTCATTGGGCCCTGGACATTTGAACTTATTGATCCTTGACTGTTAACCTATCAATCTTGAGCTACCATCCTATGCTTTCAACTTGTATTTCCCCTTCATCAGAAAGGTTTTCTTTTGGGAGAAAACTGAGCCAAAGTAGGAATTGAGCACTTTGGCCTTTTCTTCATCATTTGTTATCATTTTGCCATCTACACTGATCCCTCCTCACAATTTCTTTCCTCATTATTTTGCTATGGACATATCTGAGGAAAGCTTTTTTGTTGCTTTTAGCATCCCTCAATTCATTCCTAGCTTTAGTCTTCCTGATGCCTTCACTGCAATTCCATGCTACCTGCCAGTATTCTTCCTTTGTAGCCTGGCCTTCTTTCCACTTCCTATAAATGTCCTTTTTAGTTTTCAGATCATCTCTAAGCTTTTTGTGAAGCCACATGGGCTTCTTCTGTTGTCTTCTATCCCTTTTCATTCTTGGAATTGTTTGCAATAATGCCTCTAGAATGTCCTTGGTTAGAATCAGGTCAAGGTCAACCAATACATTGGTTATTATTTATGTGCCAAATGATAATCAAATATCTTTTTTAAGGTTTTTAAAGATTTGGAAGTAATAAAGGATATGTAACAATACTTAACATGGCAATGGTAAGCTATCAAAAATGATAACATGGTAAGTGATAAGCTAAATTCTACCAAAGAGGAAAGACAATACAATATTGTACACTACTGAACAAAGTGATAAATGAAAACAGGCTGAAAGATGTTTAGAGAGAATTAAATGGTAATAAAAAATGGTTTAGTTTTTACTCCTCAGTGCAAAAAACTTTTTCCTAGTTGAAATTACATATTTGTGTCTAAGAATTTGTTTGACAGGGTGTGTAAGTCGGATATTGGTGTGATAAAGGTGACAAACCATGCTTTAAAATCTAAACCTACATTAAAATCAAGATTTTTAAATTAAATGTAGATAAATAAATAAAGTAGTCAAAAGATGGAGGATGGATACCAACATTTTACAATATAGGAACATAGTAGATAAAATGGAGAAAGATTTAAAAAAATGGAGAATGAACGTTAGCAATAGTTGTAATGCAAAAATAGGTGGCGTCAAAGGATTGGGAGATGGGCTGGTTCGCTGTGGGGTGGATAACAGCAGGAGAGCTGAGAAGCTCTTTCAGAGTTCCAACCTGCTGCCTCCTGTGTATACGGAAGTATCCTGTGATGCCCTGCATGCAACAATGCTGTAGAAGGTAGATATTCTGTGTCTAGATTAGAGATTTCTTATTTTCTGGGCCCAAGGGATGCAAGTAGACCCCAGGATTGGGGAGATGTTTGGTTGGCTTTGCTCTGTAAAACTGCTGATATCCATCTTTATTATTATTATTATTATTATTATTATTATTATTATTATTATTATTATTACAACATTTCTATGCCGCCCCTTGCCAAAACCTCGGGGCGGCTTACAACATGATAAAATACATTGAAATACAATAGTACATAATAAATTACTATTAAATATAAAAATACAAAAAATACATTGATTTACAAATACAAAATTAAAATTATCAGTATAAAATAAAATATAGGAGGAGAAAGAGAAGGAAGAAGAAGTTGCCCAGGCCAGATCATATGTTTTAACAATTGAAATGATGTTTAAATAAAAAGGTCTTTACCTGGCGCCGAAAAACCAGTAACGA